TAGGGGGGGGAAAATCATATTTTACTTATCGCTACAGAAGGGTTCAGTGAATACGCATATGAAACTGGTGGGTTCGGTCCCTCAAAAAAGGTTAAGAACCACTGACTTAAACAATCCAAGTCTTTCAGTTTGTTAAATGTCTGACACTAAACACAAGTCAACATTAGGAGTTCAAAAACTGTTCTAACCTGGCAGGAATGAACGGAGCAAACAGAGGCGCATTTACTGTCTGCCTGGAGACGTTTCAATTAAGATGATGTCAGGATAGACATAACTCATTCTAAAACTGTTTAGTGAGGCAATTCACACCAGAAATCTCCTTTTTTTGTAGTTTTAATATGCCTTTGATAGAATTCATATTCTATCAAACAAACCAAATGCCGGCGTCTCGAGACACAAACATGAACTCTGTGTAATATCTGATCTCTAATGAGGGTTTGGAACTTTGGCTTAATGCAACTGAACAATGAAATAAAAACTTCTTTTCTGACCTTTGAGGTACAAAAAAAATTGTTAATCACTCAGCAGTATAACTGCTCAGCAGGGTAAAAATCTGGGTTCAGGTCACAGTCTGATGCAAAGCAGACATAAATTCATTTGAAAAGTCACATTCCAGTGACTTCATGACATTTTGCAGGAGATCTGGGAGTATTAAAACACCAGAGGGACAATGTGATGATGTGCTGACAGCAAAAAAGTCCCAATTTCTAGATGTTAAATTATGAAGTCAATTTTCTTTTAAGTCATCCTTAATATATGTAGTATTTTCATAACAACTGAAGGTAACATAGATACTTGATGGTGCAATAACATGACACTATTGCCCCTTTTCCACCGGCTCTACTTAAGCAGCTCGGCTCGTCTCGTCTCGTCTCGTCTCGTCTCGTCTCGTCTCGGCTCTGTTTCGGAGTGACCGCTTTTCCACCGGCCCGACTTGGCTCTGTATCAGGGTGCCGCTTCCTGGCGGTGAGGGGGGGGGCGTATAGCGCCCCGCCTCCAGGTGACACGTGCTGTGCTTCCTTACTCTGTGACCTAACGGGAGTTGTTGTTTTTCTGAGACAAGAGAAGAGAGAGCAGAGCTATTTTTTTTATAGCCTGATTGTGATTTTTCTGAGACTTCAAGAAAAAGCGTGGTGGGAGGAAAGCTGCAATGTGGTGAGGAGGAGCTGATTCCGCCATGCAGCGGGAGGAAAGCAGGTGGTTCAGACGGTGCAGGTGATCTAACGATTAAACTACTATAAAACTTATAATACAATGCCGAATATACATGTGCTAATTTTAGCCAGGGTATTGAAAATAACTTATAAGTGTCAGAATTGCGTCTGCGCCGCACATTCATAATAAATTCCGATGCGTTTTCAGATGTTGGTAAACTGCTGCTGCAGACCATCGTGGTTCTTCGTGCTCCTCTGAGTTGCAGGATGTCTCATCAGTGTCCGTCTTCCTGACTGCTGGTCAGTGTTTACCTTCAGGATGTCCAAAGACCTTCACCTTTCTAGAGCAGGAATCACATGAACCCTGAAGAAACATCAGCCAATTTTAAAAAATGTGGCTGATGTTCTTACAGAATTGAAGTGCATCAACAATCTGTTGTTTTTAACTTCTCAATATGTTTAATTATGATTCATCTGATGTTCAAGTTATACTGAGAATAAAGGAATAAAGCTGTATTCCTTCTGATCTGACTGGTTCTAGTTTTAATCAAACCTTCCATGTTTTCACATTTTGGTCACTAAGAACTGATCGGGGGCTTAAAAATTTAAACTCAGTCTTATTTAGCACTAATTAAGGTTACAGGTTTTGGACACATTTTCTCACTGTCTTACATTGAAGATTCTCCAGGAAGACAGATAAACAATGAGCTTTTCTGTCTCCAACATCATCTTCATCTTCATCAAGGAGGGCCTGCAGCACTCTGCCAATTAAAGGAGCTTTTATCCAAACTATGCATGGCTGATGGTGTTAGGAGCTGATCTTTCACGCTGTGTCTCAGGAAACACAAGAAGGCTGGTACACACACAAACACACACACACACACACACACACACACACACCGAACTCTGGTACACACACCAAACTCTGGTACACACACCAAACTCTGGTACACACCCTGAACTCCGGTACACACACTCAACTCTGGTACACACACCAAACTCTGGTACACACACTCAAGTCTGGTACACACACCGAACTCTGGTACATACACCAAACTCTGGTACACACACTGAACTCCGGTACACACATTCAACTCTGGTACACACACCAAACTCTGGTACACACTCTACTCTGGTACACACACTGAACTCTGGTACACACACATCTTGGCTTGTTCAAGCTGCCGTCACAAATCTGGATAATTATAAACACGGGGCTTTTAGGTCCAGACGATGCCTGTCTGTCGTACTACAGAGACATTATTTATGCAGTTTGATTAGTGAGGAACCTGTCTCTGATGTATTGTCCAATCACTGCAGCTTCCTCTGTTATTGTTCTGGCCCGTGTCAAAGTAGGTCTAAATTACGGAAGCAGTTAAAGAATATTCAACATCTGAGATTTCTAGTGCACTTCCTTTATGTTTCCAAGTAATTACAGTAAATTGCTGACAGCCTCAAAGTTCGCTGGTGTCATGCTAATTGTTAAGCTAATTGCTAAGCACAGCCCGTGTTCCATCACGTATTGTTTTGATGATGAATAAAACAAGGGGCTTGGGTTTGAGGGAACATTGTGGTTTCAGTCCTACTTCTGGATTTGGCCAGTTTCCTCAAATAATTCAGACATCACTAAAAACTCAAAGGTGGGCATCGTAGAAAGTAGCCTAAGTTGTAAAAGACTTTATAGCTCCATAAAAAGGCTTTATAGGAACTTCCTGTATTCTCGTATATGCTATCATCATATACAATCATTTATATATTTCATCTATTTTCCCACATGGAAACAGGGAATGCTCCAAAAAGCGTTTTTTTTTTTTTTTTAGTCCTCCAGACCTGTAAGTGGTGCTAATTTTCTCCGGTCTTACCAAAATTCTCACCTTTTTTTGGTCTAGTTCTCTTTCTTCATCATTCTTCATTAGCCTTTTATTTTCATTCAAGTATTTTAGTGTACAGAGGGTTAGGGTTTAATCAACTTCAGCACAACCTTTAATCCTCCACTAATGTTTTTGTTATTTATGATGTCTTTGAGGTTATATGCCTGGGCTTTGTGCCTTATAGGGAGCAGTTGGTTCCCACAGCGTAGAATGCGTAAAATTAAAAATTTTACGCATTTTCCAGGCATATGGTGCCATTTCATAGCACAATCAATTAACTACATTACCGTCAGTTATTATAAAAATGCTGTATATGTTTGACTTCCTAATTTCATGCATGAAATAATCATGCATGAAATCATGCATGTATCTTTTAGATGAAAGGATAACATTATAGGATGATGTAACGCTCTTAGATGCATGTACATGGTCACACAATATATAACGAACACTTAACCTAACAGACATGTTTTTGGGCTGTGGGATGAAGCCGGAGTCCCCAGAGAGAACCCAGACGTGAACAGGGAGAACCTCCAAGCATGCAGAGACCCCAGGCTGTGACTCAGATCACGTCTGAAGACTGAAAATATGGAATAAGTACTTGATGAAACTAGCAGACGTTTTTAAGTGAACGTGTCTATTAAAAATAATTATAATTTTTATAATTTCTTGCTCTTTAGAGAGCAGCACTGACAGTTTAACAAGCTGATTTTAATGAGTTAATTAGCTCGTCAGAGAGCTGCTCTGCAGACATGGTGCTCAAACATCTCACCATACTTTAGGTTTGTCTGTAATGACTTTTCACACAGTTCAGCAGTCTTTGTTGTAAAGTACAGAAATTTGTAGGAGAGACCAAGAGACAGCCCAGTAGCTAAGGGAGAAGCGCTGCGCCGATTTATGTTTTCGCATCCACCTGAATAATGTGTAGTTGCACCACTGTGCATCATCAAACTCTGATGCCGACCAAAAAGTGAGCCCTGCTCCGTCTACAAACCTTGGTCTCTGTTCGATGAAAGCGAACACTGATCTGGTTCGAATGCATATCTAACATGAAGGGGACTGGAAACTGCCCTAAAAGCAGGAACTGGACTACAGCGCATGGCATTCTGGGTGATTACAACCAAAACAAACGCACAAGTCTAGCATTAGCAGGAGAAATGGCTCAGTTTTTTTTTTGCCAAAAACGAAAGAGAAATCTGACAATACTCCATTTCTATTTCATTCTAATGAAGAAGGAAGTTGCACTTCAGAGGTTTTTGTGTCATTTCCTTCAGTGCTTCTTGGTGCAGCGCCCCCGCAGGCGAGGAGAGGAACAGGTGTTTCAAGGTGTATGGACGTGGCAGTGCAGTGAGAGAAAGAGAACCACGGCAGCTGAAAATGGAACAAATGTTTTAACTTTTTAACTTTCCCCAATAGACCTGAGTCTACCAGACCATCAGGTGGGTAAAAATCCTTAGAGTCACTAAAAAGTCCATGGACAGAGACAACTGTACTAATAAATGATGCTTACACTGCAAAACTAAATCATAATCAGTCAGAGGTGGTGCATAACATTTAAAGATATTTAACTATTAATACCTGAGAGACACGAGGCAAAGCAGCATAAACCACCTTATAGTAGCTTTGAGGTTTCTCTAGTTTTGCTTGAAAATATTGATAATTACTTTTTGGAGGCTTTTTTTTCAGCTTGTTTAGAAAGAGTTGTTTGCTTAGGCTTATTTAAGTTTTCATGCACTATAGGAATATGTCAAATATTTTAAATTGCAGCATCCATCAGGAGGGCATCCATGCATAAGCTGGAGCTTTGGCCTCTCCCCCTGCGCTCTAGAACACCGGCAGTTACCAAATTGATTTTCAGCGCAAGCACTGACTGACAAAAATGGATGCTCTCCATGTCGGGAATGAAAACAATAAGTGTTTTAATCACATTGTTCCTTTAGAGCAACAGATAATGTGGTTTTAATTTGAAGCTGACACTGACACTAATGCAAAGTGCAATACTACACTATAAAATTATAATGTATAGCAAGGTTGTTGTTACTATACTGAAAGAAGACACTGGCTGACTAGCTGAGGTATGTAGATCACACGGCAGCTAATGTATCAAGGCTATATATATATATATATATATATATATATATATATATATACATTGTGGATAGTGATGCTGTGGGCAGGAAGGATCTCCACTTGCAGTCAGTCTTGCAACGAATTTGAAGAGGCCTCTGACTGAAGACTGTTGCTGTATGACAGTCTCATGACCGATTTGGGACTGAAAAGCTAACAGCTCAATATCCAGGCAACAGAGATGATATTCCACAGAAACATCTCCTATATGGCACCGTCAGTTGTTAGCAGCTCTGCTAATCCACCTCATTTTGCCGCTCCTGTCTCGCCTGTTTTGCAGTATCCAGGAAGTTTGTTCCAGATTTGAGGTGCATAGAAGCTGAATGCTGCTTCATGTTTAGTTCTGGGTCTGGGGATGCAGAGCAGAACCAGAAGGCCTCAGACATCGGTATGCTTGACTGTGAAAGCTCAGCTGTCTGCAGAAAGTGTGCGGCCCACTGAATATGCACAGTACACCTGAGTATAGGAGCAGTGTCGTGTTTTGCCTCCATGCCCTCGTACGTTAAGCCGATCGCAGAAAAGTGAAAGGAAGAAATGAGTAGAGAAGCTCGAGAAGAAATTGCAGATGTATGAGGAGCGGTCCGTCACAGTTCAGCAGTACTTTGGATACTCAAAACAAACAAACAAAAAAACGAATCAATGATCATCGGCTGATATAAAATGCTTACATTGTGATACATTTTTTCAGCCGTATTCCTGAACCTTTGGATGAATAGTGCTCTAGATGATTCAGCTAAATATTCAACAATAATCTTTTTCATGTTTTGTTTATGCTCCACTGTCACCAAGTTTATCTCAGACATAACTGATCTCCTGATAGAGAAACTGAAGATTGCAATTTGCAGAAAACATCAGGGGAAATATTTTAGATACTGATTAAAAAATATTCATTAACACATGTTATGAGGCTGTGGCGGCTTTGGGGAGGAGTGAGTCGCTTTTTGGGGGGGGCTTGAGACCTGATCTCTTCCTTTCTCTTGTGCAATCTGGCAACAGCGACCATACAGCAGATTTAGCATCCCGCTTATTAAAAAACTGTTAATGATCCAGGAAGATTGTAATGCATTTTTTTATACACCTGTGCCTCGTATTACCATAAAAAATAATTTCTGGAAGCCATAAAATATGACTTTCACCAAGACGTTGCTCCCTTATGTCTTATGTCATAAACATAAATTGGTTATTTAACCTCTATTACAGTTAAAGATGATAGAAAATATCATGTATAGACTTGTAATTAAAAAAAAAACTCATTTGAAGTAATTAACAATCTTCCTTGACAAAATTTTATCCAAGAATATCCGTGTCAAAAAAACAAATACTACTCTGTGCAAGGAGCTTTGAGGATCCATCTCTATCTACCCCTGGGAAATTGTTTTAAACCAGATAAATGCTTTGGAGACGCCCGTGAGGGGTAATAAAGACCCCAGGAAACTATACTGGTCCATGGAAATGGTTCCTGTAGTGAAAATGCAGTTAGTCACACAGAGTTGGTCGAATTTGCCCCTGAACAGAGTTGATTTAGCTCAGTGAGGAGCTCTGAATATGCAGCAGGTCTGGACAGGAGCAGCAGGCTGCCGGAGAAACAGATCCATCATATATAGCAGTTTGGAAAAAGCAAAAAAAAACAAAACAAAAAAAAAAAGCGAAAATGTTTTTTGGGGGTTTTTTTAAATATGAACTTCGAGAGGCTTCAGGATGAACGAGGAAGACTCAAGGTGCAACATTGCCCTCTGGTGGCGTCATGAAGAAATCACCAATATTGACTGGTATCTAAGTTGCCGAACTGCTAAAATTCCTTCACGTTTTTCTCATGTCTGTTTAACCATTTAAAAATGATTTTAAATATCACAGATTTTACTAATCGTAATTATTTAAATCAACAGTCATATTTTTAAAAAAATTTGTTGAGGGATTAATAGCAGCCGTGTTGGTACATTACAGTGTTTCAGAGCTGTTTTGTGAGCGTTCTCATGGACAGCTCAGAAAAGCTGGTCTTTAATTTGTAAATACTATTTTATGCGTGCTACCAGTTATTTCTCCTTTCTGATGGAACCAGCTCCTGTGTGGTGAGGGACACGCCCTGTAGACTCGGCTTAAAACTTGAAATAAAGCTTGTAGCCAAAGCCACTTCAAATTAACCGTTAGCTATCAGGTGCATCTTTAATTAATTAAAATATGATCTGAATAAAAAATATATATATTTTTGTGATTTAATTAAATAATTTTCATTCAGGTTATACTAATTGGTTGCCAAACGAGGAATTCCAAAAAGTTAAAGCTGCATTAGGGAGTTCTGAAAAACATAAACTGGAAACTTTAGCAGAACCTTGCAGGTCCCTCTCCCTGTTGTCTGCTGCCTCGATTTGGCGTAATATTAGCAAATTGAATTCAACATGAATTTTTGCAATGCCATTTCTCAAAGTCTTCAGCTTTCCATGCATTGTCAGATCACCCAAAGTTAACTGGTTTCACAAACGTAGAGCCATGCTGAAGAAGAGCAGCTAAGGTAAACCAGGTGCAGGTAATTAAGCCAAATTAAAGGTGCACATTTCTCCTGAACACAACCACCTTTAGACAGGCCACTTGCACTCAAGTTCTCCAGTCTTTCTGGAGGAAGAGATTCTGGTTGGTGATGCAGAAACACATCCAAAACCTGTGGGACACCTGGGATCATTGCCGAGCATTTACTGGAGAATAAATCAACGTTTTCATAACACATTTGTTGGACCACATTTTCAACAATAGCTACTGATTTGTTTTCCAAATAAAAATAAAGATGAGGCCATTTAACTTTTATAATGGGCCAAGTTCTGAGCCTGGTTCTCCCTGACTGTTCTTATTTGACAGGGACTGCGACTCATTGTGGGATCTTCCTGATTTTTTTGGGAATCTCTAAGATGTCCATGGCCTCAGTCGGCTCTGTATTGGTGGGGAGAGGGCAGGACAAGAGGAGGCCAGTTGGAAATCTGACCCCAGGAGGCGTCTTTGTGTCCATCAGCACCTCCCTAACATCTGAAATACTATGTTTCAGTATTGTCTTAGGATTTATCATTGTGTCAGTTTTTGTCATGTAAATGGAGGGGGGGGAAAGCAATACCGACTCAAAAAAATCAGCCGCACATAACCTTAAAAAACCTGCATCGGTCGATCTCTACTCAGAACCCTCACTCTCAAAAATTATGCTTACCGGCAGCTGTGAAGGCTTAAACTAAAGTAACATTGTAACATAAATATGAGCAATTCCTAACTGAAATACGTCATAATGAATATCAATATTTTTCCTTTTTCTTGTCTCTGCTTTCAATTTCATGTTTAGGCTTTATCTTTAAAAGGAGTAATTCTCTGCCCTCTTCTTTTCAGCATCTCACTGATACAGTCTGACAAAAAGACAGCATCATTTCAAAGACACAAAATTGTACCAAGTATTTTGTCTAGTTTCTAGAGCAAATATTTTAGTGCGCAAAAAATAAGACAAAACTAACTTACAGGTAACTTTTCAGCAAAAAATAGGAGCTTGTTTTGAATCAGTAATCCCTTAATATTGGTGGAAAAACCAGCTCCATTAGCAGATCATTTACCTTATAACATTTTCATCAGTATTAAGGTATTAATGACTTAAAACAAGCTCCTATATCTTGCAGAAAAGTTACTTGTGAGTTAGTTTTGTCTTATTACTAGTGTACTAGACAAGAAATCAGAGTCTGGAAACTAAGCCAAACATACTTGGTAACTTGGGTGCAAGTAACAGGACTGGCAGACTGCTGAAGTGCATCCAGTCCACAAAACATTAAAGATTTACATGGTGTTCTCTTGTGCTCTGAACGCCGTGACGCCTCACCACTAGTTCTGAGTTTGACCCACATATATGACGATTGAAGACGAGGGATTCTGAACCTGCAACTGTAGAATATTAATGTCAATATCCCCTGAAATTTTAGCTGCGTGATGCGTCATTCCATGGATGAACCAACTCGTCCACCACATGGACTTTTTTTACAGTGCTACCTGCTGTCTGTACGCTGGAAATACAAGTGAATGTTGGCGTCAAAAAGCACCTCAGACCTGGGAAGATCTGGTTTGTTGTTGGTCACTTTGGAGTGGAAGTAAAGACCAGGTCCTGAAGAAAAAAATCATATTCAGCAAGTCCACATATGATTCTGTTATTTCAACTCGTTTCAAAATCCACACATTCTGGTATTTTTATTGACCTAAGCAAAAATTGGTAACACTTTATTTGAAGGGGGGTGAATAAGACTGTCATGACACTGTCATAAACATGACATAACACCTGTCATGAACATGAATAAGCCTTCATGAATATTTATGACTGTTGTCATAAAGCGTCATTCGGTAAATTATGACACTTTTAATACGAAGTTGACATTATTCAAAATGTCTTTGTTATGACAACTTGACATTAACCAAGAAATCATTACTGATATAAATTTGTTATAAAAGAATTAATGATTGCATTTTAAAAATTAGGTAACTTTATGTTATTAAAGGTAAAGTTTAAACACTAATTTCAGTAAATTCTGTGACAATGCATCAGAATTTGCATGTGTGTGGGGCGAAATGCCGTTCAGGGACATGTTGAGGTGACCTCTGGATTGGGTCTCTGCTTTTTAGTGATGTGGTTCTGTTTGGCTTCATTAGTTTGTGATCTGCAGTTTTCACTCAAGCACTTCAGAGCTGAATGTGAAGGTAGGTACGCCGCTTCAAAGTCAGCGGCATCCCGGACTCTAGAGATTTAGAGGATCAACGCCTCCAAATCTTTAGCTGGGAAAGGGAGCCTTCGCTGGGTCATGGAACAGGTTTTGCCTCAAGTGGAGAAGTTCAAGTAGGTTAGGGTCATCAATGAGGGCTAAAGAAAGGGGTTTTAGAGCAAAAGGCAAATTGGTCTGTTGTGAAGACAGTAGCATGCCAAAATGAATCGTTTGATTTAGTGGTCGATCTGCTACTACCCAAATCTATGGTCACAAGCTCTGGGTAGTGACTAGAAGATCGGATACAAGCATCTGATCTGTAGGGTGCCCAGACACTGTGTTTGGGCTCTCCTTTACAGATAGGGTGAAGCTCAGCCATCCTGGAGTAGAGCTGCTGCATCTCCACATGCAGAGGATACATTTGAGGTTGCTCACACATCTGATTAGGAAGCCTCTCTGGTGAGGTGTTCAGGCCTCCAGGAGGAGACCCAGGACACGGACCTGTCCTCTGTTGGCCTGTGAACACCTTGGGATTCCCCAAGAGGAGCTGACCCAAGTGGCTGGAAGTCTGAGTCTTCCTGCTTGGGTTGCTGCATCCAGGATCAAACTCTTAAGTGATAATGTAACCTTCACTGGAGATGGTTGATCTTCAGTGAAGTAGTTGAATATTTTGAAGTAATGCTGCTCAAGTGCAACTTGACTACTTTAGCCTACTTAGTTTTTTTTCTAAGTTGCTACCCATCCATATAGTATCTAAAGCCTCATACTAAGTTCAGAGATACCCAGCATTGCCTTTTAGTACTTTGAAACCTTGTCCGCGTCAGCAGCTCTGTTGGCTATATTTTAGCCACCCCATCACTAAGACACCAACCTTTAGCACTGCTCTCAGTTTTTGCCAACTTCTGTTAATCATTTAAATGCATGCAGGTCTCCCAGGTTCAAACATCCTATTTAAGCTGCATGTCACAATCTCACCAGCAGAGGGAACCATATTCTAATCCAGCAGCTTTCACATTGGGGACAAACAATATAATGGACACTTTTGTCTAAAACAGGAACAAGACATTTACACAGCAACCAATTTTACACTTTATTTGTTTTAGTACAACAGTTTAAGTCAGCTAGCCACTTTTCTATTGAAATGCCAGAAGTGTATTGCTCTTATGCATTCCATGTGTAGACATCTGCTCAGTGATGTTGAAAATGACCTCCAGTTGCATGATGGGCATGTTAATTCACAGCTATACAGCAAGAAGTCGTGTGCTTTAAGTCAACCCCATATTTGTTTTATATATATTTTTTTTACAAAAGCCAAGAATCAGCAGTGGCGCAAAAACCCCGATGACCTGCAGGTAAAAGTCAGCTGAATCCGGGAGCAATGCTGCATGTCCAACAGCCAACACCTCGATGGAAACTTGTGCTACTTTTTAAATATACAGTAAGTGCCAAGAACAGGTGTGGTTCACAGACGGTTTCAAACCCACTATGAAACGGGTGGTAGTAAAGACCGATGCATAGAAACATGCTTCCCGAGAGAATAAAAAACACACACCGCTAATATCAAAGGAAGGGGGCTCAAGCTGCACCGACAAGCTACATGATTATTACAGCAGACTCAGAGGAATTATCCACATGTAGAACGAGCGCAACTACACTTATATAGCAGGAGAGTTGAAAAAATTCACAAAGTAGAAGTTGTATTTCCAAAAGAGGTGGGTTGTGAAAAAACAATACTGGCTGAACAAAAAATAAATTAATCTTTGGATACGTAAAAAACCCTATACAATCCCCCGGTGGCTCCCCCTCAGTCTTCTGAGCCGCCTTCTGAGCCAGGCTCCTTTTCCTTATTCTTCCTCACCTCTTCCAACTTCTTGTCCTGTAAAGACAAAAGGAGAAGGTAACAGTGGATCTCCATGTCACTCCACACACACGTTCAGGCAAACGCCACCAACCTTCTCCTTGAACTTCTCATTCATAGCTGCCATAATGGCTGTGCGGTTCTCTTTGTTGGCCTCCATCTTCTGATTGAGCTTCTCCTCTGCCATCTTGCTGAAGTTGTTGTTCTCCTCCATAGCTTTCTGTAGCACTTCCTTTTCATGCTCCCGCTTCTCGGCCAAGTGCTTCAGAACCTCGGCTTCATGATTCTGACGGCAGAGAGGGAAGTTAGCCTCAGACCACTTCAGCAAACCCTCCACTACTTGCAGAAGATGTACCAGTCAAGGGGTTTGACAAGTTTGTGGTCTTCTCTTCTTACCTTGCGCCTCTCTTCTGCAGCATCCAGCTTTCTCTGAATTTCCTCAAGAGAGACGTCCTTCTTTTTGGGAGGAGACAGGGGGAACTCTCCTTTAGCATCCGGGGCTGGAGCACCCAGGATGACCTCAAAGGCCTGGCCAGACGCCCGCTTATCAAGCTCCTTGACCTGGATATCTGAAGAACACCAGAGTAAAGACACCAGGAGCTTCCAGCAATTTGAAGATATGTTTACTTTAAATGCAAAATTACCTTCAGCTGATGCCATCTTGGACACAAGTGCAGGACCGGTAACCTGAAAGACAGTAGATTACATTCATACAGTATAAAAGCTGATTATTAATAGAGAGATTAGACGATTGCACAATGGATTGTAACACAGAAAAAATGACTGATCTTGGCTGCAGTTTTAAGCTTTGTTCATAAAAAAAAATACTGAATTTATTTAAATCATAAATGTCAAAAATATGGGACTTTTGGCCTTTAGCAATCACATAATTTGAAGTAGGGGCCTGAAGCCTGCACCACCCATAGGGCCATTTGCAGTAAGTAAAAATAAATAAATAAATCTAGTGTGCAGGGAGTGTGGGTAAACTTTCTTCCATGGGACATTTTTATTTGTGGTAAATTTGTATAAACATTTTTTGACAACGTCATATATATATATATATATATATATATAGCTAGTTCCATCATCATTTTGTTGTGGGGAAAAAAACTAACATCTGTTATATCTAAAAACCATTAACTGCTTCTCTTTTTAAACACAGTTAAGCACAGTTGTTACAGAGGAAACATCTTTGTTCACGCTGCCAATAAAAAAAAGAAAAAGAAAGCAGCGTCAACAGCGACATCTGGTGGCGCACTGCATGTCTGCATAAAACCACCGCCCATCAACCCACACCACACACGGCGTTCAGTGCCTCCGTGTCGCGCACGCGCCATTGTTTATGTTCCAAATTGTAACAGCATTGACATTCAGATCGATCAGAGACCGATCGACCTACTCCCCCCCCTCCTCCACCCAAACGTGAAGGGAGGGGCTCCTGGATAAGCAGAGCCACAGTGTTAATAGTTAATGAGACCAGTCACAATCTGCTGAAACAAAAGACTGCCACTGGGGTGTGTTCGGCGCCCAGACGCGACACATAAGCGCTATATAAGCGACATGACTGAGAAATGTGCAGATCCATGGGAACATCAGCAGCAGGCAGCACCTGTTCCTTCCACCATGTGCTCGGAAGCAAGAGGGAATCGGGGAGGGGTGAACCCACAGATGGTGGTGGGTGGGGGGACAAAAGCCACAAAGAGATGGCTGGAAAAATATCTGCTCTATTGTGACTAACAACGAGCAAAAATGATGAGACATAACAGCAGTCATGTTCTGTGATGAAATGGCTCTCTTGTTAATTAGACGGCTGAAGAACTGTTGAGTTATTCCAGAAACAGAACCCTCCCCTGGCATTTCTCTGGGGCTAACAGCTAGCTTAAGTTCTTTGTTTACCGTTCTTAAATGCGAAAAATCACGAAAAAAAGTACAAATGAACAGAATAAAGATTTAACAGCCCAAGCAGATAGAACTGCCCGACAATTAGCGTTTCGTCAAGCCAACAAAGCATCAAATACTTTAACATATCTTAGTCGTATAAATTCAATTTGATGGGTGTTATTAGCTCCATTTGGAGAAAGCAGCAAACAAAGGAGCTTTTATTCTGACGGCAACAAGGGGAGCAGCCACAGACAAAGGGGCGCTCAGACTGGATACTTCGCTGTAAAATACATTTTTTAAAATGCGTATATATTAAACTGACCACTAAAATATTTTTAGGAAATTTAAATACAAAGACAGTCGAGATGAAGAGGCAGACATGACTGGTCTGAATGTCCCCTCAGAGCCGACCGTGCCAATGTCTCCCTGAGTACAATGGGCTGCCAGCCCGCCAACCCACCGACATGAACAACGGCCGTTTGTCTCCAATAAAACAAAGCACCAATAACAGCAGAGCAAGTTTTCCTAAACCCTTTAGCTCATATCCAGCCGTAATTCACACATGACAAAAACAAATTACTACAAAACAATTCATTCTAAAGTGAAGAAAAGCTTCCGCTGATTAAAGAAACCCGACCCAATAAGTAAGGATTTGTAAAGCCTGATGCTGAGGTGAATACTCCTACCTACAGACGTGGGGAAAAGCTCTTCTGTCGGGTTTCTGGGCTAGAGATGCTGGCTGCCTGTCACACCCACCTCCAACAAGCTGCGGATGCTGCTCCTTTCTCTCAGATTTCACCACAAGCCCCAGGCAAGAGCACCTCAGTGCGCGCATTAATAGAACACGGCCCGTGACGTTACAGCAGTCTCCAGCCAATCACTTGGCGCTATAATGCGAGTGGGGATTGTAGTTTTTTTCTTAAGGATCTTCAATGTGAATGTGCAACCATTTAGCTCTGTTTTTGCTGCCTATTGTAATGAGTGGACTATGTCCTCTATTATTCTATTGATTTTACAATGCAAAGTGCTTGTTGTTTTTTTTTTGTTCTTTATAGAACAATAGAAAACTTTTTAAAACCTTCCTGACCAGACATATCATGTTTTACACATATATCCACCGTTATTATTTTAAGATGAAGCAAGCTAAAAATCTAAAATGTTAGTCTAGACTCCATTACTCTAACTCATGATGATTATGTAACACAGTCACTTAAATACAGCAGAAATAAGAAAGAAAAAGACAGATTTATGTTCAGCATCCCAATGAACATCTGAATGAACAATAAAATGCCTTCACCAGAAGAAAATTAAAGTTTTGGACTGGCCTAATCCATTTAATAAGTATATTTTCCAAAGTTTCCTGACAGCAGGTTTGGACACTTTAAGAGATTCTGAGAGCTTTTGCTGGGCAGAGGGTGCAAATATCACCAAGTAGACTCCAACCAAAGATGAGTGGTTGTTGTTTTCCAGTCAAAATGTGATTCAACCTGTAAAATGGCTTTAGTTTGAAGTTAGATTAATCCATATGAGAAATATCCTGACTTTTGACATGGAAAATGACAAGAACGCCTGTGTAAAACAAGGTTAAACGTGCTTTTTCTCTAACTGTAGCTGTACTTTAATCAACCAGTCACTGGAATATGCCTAACTTTAGTCATTTGGACTGCCCAAATGTAATACTAAAGTTAAAAACATGGTCATAATGAGGTATTTGTATGTAGAAATTTGAGATTTAACAGAGATTACTTGAAAATAATTTGGAAAAAGGCTGTAACATAACATGATATGGAAAAAAGGAAGCACTGTACTTTCTGGATGCACTGTGCAATCATTTGGAAAAAATATTTTGAACCTTCCTTGCCAGTGAGATGTAGCTTATTTTGGGAAATAACTATTTTTAATATTTGGAGGCGTGTGAAGTTTCACAAATCCAGTTGTTAGCCTGGAGTGTCGAATATCTGCATTTTAGCTCTGGAAAAAGAACTGAAGGTGGAACCAAGCAGAATGATGTGCATGATGTCATTCATATGTTTTTCAATATTTTTGCTTTCTTTCGTAGAGGTAGCCATGCTGGCCATGTGTGTTTTTGCTGAAGAAACTACTGTGAGCAGTCAGCTGGACCCTGAACTTAATGATCTGCTGATTCAAACATGAAGCATCAGCACACATTGCGCTGGACAGAGTCCAGCTAGCAAAAGCCACTGGGGAAGAATTTAAAGAGCGCACTGCAGCAATTCAAAGACCATCACAGGCTAAAGCTTTGTCAAGGCACATTTCAAGATGAAAATGTTTTTTAGCAAACAAACAGACGTGACATTCTCAGATAAAACCTTCTGATAAAACCATTGCTCTTTTTGGACGTGCCAAACTTTAGAACAGCAAGCACTCCCTGAATGTTTTTATCGACTATTTTTAGCTTACCATTATTCTGATGACAGCAGAAGGCGATCAGTGTTTGTTCTGTCACAGAGACGCTGCACTAAAAGTATCTGATGTGAGAACATTTAGATCTATTTTTACCTCTGCCTTGCCTATCATTTCATTTTGTGGGTTGGCTCTGTGATTGCTATCAGAGTTGAAATCATTTTCAGTGATGTTGCCTGGAGGCATGTGGAACATTCACTTCTCCACCAGGTCCAGATGTTCGGCTTATGTTTACATCTGTTTCTCTTGAAAGTCCAAATAATTTTAGCAATTTTTCTTTTTTTATTGACATTTCAGTTGTAAATGTCTGTAAACTAAATGTCTGATTATGACAGCAGCTGCCCATTACAAATGTGCGCAAAACTTTGTCTATATTCCGCTAACATCAAAAAACAAAATTTTGCATTTGCAATGTTTCCATTAAATAAGAAATGAAGTTATAAATCACACATAAATTAGTTTGTTTGAGCCATAAGTCTTTAAAAAAAACATCCCATGCCGTCATCCTCCAATCACTTCCTATCATCTTCTACTTTGTAATTTGTATGAGGGGCAACATCCATTTGCTGATTATGTGACTCGTGTGATGCAAAAAAAAAAAAAAAAATGCTTCCATTGCAGTTTTGCCAAAGAATCCAATTTTGATACGACCAAAAAAACACTTAATCCTAGAGGCAAAACTTTTTATTTTTATTTAGAAAAACCTGACATTTATTTTTGGAATGTCAGAAGTATATTGTCAATGGAAATGCACAAACTAGTCTTTCTGCCTTGATGAAAAACATCTGAAAAGTGTTCTTCAGAAATTTTGTTTGGGGTAAAAGTTAAGCACTGCCTAAGTTCATCACTTAGGTTCTACAAAAACACAACATGACAATCAAGTCAAAGGGTTTGAGTCAAAGTGAAGTCATGAGTCATTGGTGTGAAAATCCAAATCAAGTCCAAAATCCTATGATTTCAACAAGTTGAGTCATTAAATCTGTGATTCGTATCTGACTAGATTCTTTCATCTTTTTCCACACTTCTGGAAAAAGACAAGTGAAAGAGAAGACACTTTGAGAGAAAACTTTATAATACACAGACCCATCAATAAAACTGCATATACATTGCAAATTACTTCATGGTTTGCACCAGTGGCAACATCCGGTTGCTGATCATGTGACTCGTGTGATGCAAAAATAGTGTTTACATGGCAGTTTTGCAAAAACAATTTTGATATGGTAAAAAAAAAAAAAATAAATCTCATCTTTGCGCCAAAATTTTTTATTTTGAGGGTTTTTTTCATTGGCATATTTGCATTAAGCAAATTTATTTTTTAAATGGCAAATTGCACACTTATAAATCACAACACAAGATGGAGATGGAATGAAACATCCTGACCAGGTGAGTCATCATGTTTCCTGGGATCTTTGAATACCTAGTCTTCTTTTTGTGAGGATTTGCATTGTGGTGTGTGAAAGCGGGGCTATTCATGTAGACGACACCTCTGATGCAGAGCAGCTCATCCTCTGATCAGAATGGTGCTGCTATCTGGAGACTCACGTATCCACCCAACGCAGTGGAATCCCCAACATCGATGTTAATTTAATCATGAAATTTAATCTCTAATTCAGATGACGTTTATAATAACCTAAAAACTTTGAATCAAATTTGAATTGTTAAACCTTTGCTATGTGTCTGATGACAGGACTGAGTGATCCTGGGCAGTGGGGATAACTTTAATCTGTATTTCAAATGTTGTTTACTGGTTAAAATCCATCATGTTTTGATGAGAGGGTATTGTCATATTTATAGCTCTTTTCTTTAATGAAATTTTTCCATGATGTTGTTCGTACTTACATGAATACTAAAGCAGTAAGAAATGTTGGGCATCATCCTACTGCCTTTCCATTGACTTCTTCAGCAATTTCAATTGTACAAGACGATAGGTCAGCCTTCACTCTCTTTGGACCTTCTTTTAAAAAACACCGACTACACCAGACCAGCAATTGCTGCTGAGAACCGTACTTTTTGAAGATGCTCTTCCAAGGCCTCTGTCAAATTCCTCAAACCCTTAGGGTGCATTCAAGGCAGTTCTGCTTAGTCTGCTTTAATCCAACTACAGTCTGCTTAGACAGTCTGGTTCATCTGGGGAGTTGTGAATACGTAATCGAATTCTGATGCCGATTAAAAAAGTGAACTCTGGTCCACCTACAAACCTCGGTCTGCGTTTGGTTGAAGTGAACTCTGGTGCGGCTCAAATGCAAAATGAGTATCAGTGGACTGGAGACCACTCCAAAAGCAGGAAGCAGACTACATTGCAAGGCATTCTGCAATATACAACCAAATAAATGTGCTAGTATGGCATTAGCTAGACAAATGGCTTGTGGTCTTTTACCAAAGACAAAATAATTTTTTGTCAGTGGAACTGGCTTTTAATTATTTATTTTATTCTGTTAATGAATCTGGAGTGCATGACTAAAGCACTGCCTGGTCCTCAATCCGTGTTTGGTCCCTATGTCTGAGGAGCTGTGTATGGCAGGGTGCTCCGCTGCTCCAGTCAGACAGCAGATTCAAGTCTTACAGCATCAGCCTTTCTCCTTTGGATGGATCTATGAGCCTTATTGGATCAAATGAGAAAAGGAGGGTGTGAGCAGGAGGCCAATGGAGACAGCAGGGTCCGGCAGAACTGTGTGAGTGCCACTGAAGAGGATTGGATCTTTGGTCTGGAGAGAAATACTTTTAGACTTTGTGTTTATGTGCCAGTGAGTGTCAAAGTTTGCCAGCGAGTATCAAATTTGGGATTTGATCAATAATCTCTTCTTTCAAATTTAACAAGTTTTATTTAATGAGAATCATTTTTCTGGCTTTAAGGACGCTGAGATTTCAAGTATTGTGAAAGATATGTAAAAGTTTCTGCACGATGGGGACACATGGCGGGAATGTGATCAACCGATGCTATGCTTCACCTATGATGTTTCTAATGCAGCAGGAGCTGATCCACTGGAACACACAGCACAGGAGCAGCATTCTGCTCTCAGAGGCGCTCTAGCATGTTGGTCGCTGACCCATTTTTCAGCACACACAAACAGAGAGCAGACCACTGCTCCCCCCACCCCTTCTGCCTCTCCCATCAGCAAAGCTGGTAGGATGGAGCAGAGAGCTGATAGAGAGGGAGCATGATCTAATTGTCATGACGATAAGAAGCATGACGGGGATCTTCAGGAGTTAGCATGTGGAGCGCTAGGCTAATCTCCAGCTAGCCTAGTTGCAGCAGATACACAGATCCCACTTGCAGCACATTATTAGGATGCTAGCTGTAGCAGGGTGCTGAACCTTCCAGCTAACCCGCCCAGTAATGCATTTGAAAAGGACGCCGTCTGTCTCATGTTAACCAGATGCTGCTCTTGTGTTTTA